TAATATCAACAATTTAACTGAGTTTAAACTTAATGATAATGCGTTCATGACCACTTTAAAAGTAAATGATGCTGTTGTTACTATGCAGGTTGATACGGGATCCAAGTTTACAATTATACCTCATGATATGGCTAAACAAATAGGTATTAAAGATCTTAAAAAGTCCACTCTACAGCTCACAGCTTATGATGGAAACTTAATCAAGTTATTGGCGTCACTCAAGTTAAAGTAACCTACGAAGGTATCACCAAACACTTGCAAGCCGTGATCGTTAAATCTAATAAAAATGCGTTATTGGGACGTATGTGGATTAATGCCTTTAGTAATATTTTGAACAAATTTATAGCAAACATTGATACCAACTATGAAGATGAAATAAAGAAATTAATAAAAGATTGCGAATCTAAACTGACTAAAAAACCGATCAACAAAGGGAATGTCAAGATATATCTACGTAACGATGCCAAACCGAAAATCATACCACCTAGACGGTTACCTTATTCAAAGATAGACGCCGTTACTAGAGAACTTATGAGATGGATAGGAGATGGAGTCATTGAGCCTGTAACAGATGTCCGATGGGCAAGTCCGATAACCGCTGTCTACAAGGATAATGGGAGCGTGAGGGTTTGCGCCGATTTCAAAGACACTGTCAACCCAGCCCTTGAGGACTTCAGATACCCACTTCCAAGAAAAAATGATCTTATCGCTAAGCTCAAGGAAGGGAAGAAGTTCACCAAGATAGATTTCAAGGATGCGTTCCTACAAATTCCCATCGATGAAACCTGCAGAGACATATTAACTATATCTACACACAGGGGGTACTACCGGTTTACCAGACTTCCTTTTGGGTTAAAGACTTCATCTGCGATTTTTCAACAAATTATGGATCAAATTTTCAGTGACATGAAAGATGTCATATTTTATATTGATGATCTACTAATTACAGGAAGTAGTGACGAAGTTCATTTCAACAACATAAAGAAGGTTTTTGAAAGAATACTATCTCATGGTTTAGTGCCTAATTTTGCAAAAAGCTTATTTTTCAAAAAAAGTCTAAGGTTCTTAGGACACGACATCGACGCCAAGGGGATCCACGCCAACCATGATAAGATCGAGGCGATCGTTAAAATGCCGGAACCAAAATCAGCCGCGGAATTGTCAACGTTTCTAGGTATGGCCGGGTACTACAGAAAATTTTTGAACAACTTCGCTGAAATAGCTGATCCTTTATACAAGATTGTTAACAAAGAAAAATGGGAGTGGAATTTAGAACACTCCAAAAGTTTTGATGATCTAAAGACATTGATTAGTCTTCCTCCAGCTTTGACGTACTTTAATCCTGAACTACCTATCGGAATTGCGACTGATGCATCTAAAAGAGGTTTAGGAGCTGTTTTGTTCCACACTGAAAAAGATGGCAAAGAAAAACCGATAGCTTTTGCATCAAGAACTTTAGCAAAATCTGAAACAAACTATACCAATATTGAGCGTGAAGCTTTGGCCATTATGTTTGCTATCAAGAGATTTCAAGAATACTTGATAGGGACTAAGTTCACTATTATAACGGATCACAAGCCGCTAATCCATATTTTCACCAAAGGGCTCAAAGATAATAGCACCATGTCATTAGGTTACAGAAGTGGAGTATAATTTTGGGGGGTTACAACTTTAACATCAGATATAAAGCTGGTAAATACAATGTTGTTCCCGATTGCCTCTCAAGACTACCACAAGTAATTGATGATGACGTTATTGATGATATCGCGATTATAAATGACTTTGGCGATATACCTCTTAGTTTTGACCGAATACGTGATGAAACATCCAAAGATTTTGAATTATCTCAAGTTATGAATGACATAAGAAATAATGTGCCTATCCAATATAAAATTTATGAAAATATTGAACAAGAACTAAGTATCATTAAAGATTGTCTGTACAAAAGCGACAAAATAATAATTCCGTCAAGTCTGAGAAAGAACATACTGAAGGCGTTACACAAAGGTCATTTGGGAGCAGGTAAAATTAAATCCTTAGCCAAAGATCGTATGTGGTGGTCTGGTATGGTCAACGACATTGATTTGGAAATCAAAAGTTGCGATGATTGTAATATTTATCATGACAATCCAAAGAAGATACAAAATCCATGGGTAGCGACTAAACCATTTGAAAGGATACACATAGATTATGCGGGTCCGTTTTTTACAAAGAATTGGTTGATAATCGTTGATGCTTATAGTAAATTTCCGGTTATAGTTCCGGTAAAGAATATTACGACTGAATTCACGTTAAAGGAAATTTATAAAACTACTTCACTATTTGGTATACCTGAAACCATTGTTACAGATAATGGTACCAATTTCACGAGCAAAGATTTTGAAAAATTTTGTAGCAATTATGGTATAAAACATGTACTAACGTCGGCCTACCATCAGCAATCTAATGGACAAGCTGAACGTATGGTAAGAACATTTAAAGCTCATATGAAAAGAAACATAAAGATTGGCTTAGAAACTGCGCTGGACAGATTTTTGTTCAACTATAGAAACACGCCGAATGACACTACGGGAGTTACACCGTCCAAAAGAATGTTTAACCGCGACATTAGAATAAAGTGGGATTTATTAAAACCTTTGGAGGATAAAGTTGGTGAAGTCTTCATGTCGTTACCACGAAATCGAACTTTTAATAGAGGAGACTATGTTTGGTATAAGAAACAGGGTGATGATACGTGGTGCAAAGGCAGCATCAAGCTTAAAGAGAGTAACACCATGTTTCAAGTTTATACTGATAAAGGGATAGTAAGTAGGCATATTGATCAGTTAAGGAAAAGAGAATGTTACAACAGTTTAAAATATTATGAAAGTGACCCTAAAAATTCCTCTAAGGGGGGAAGTGTGGACACAAAGAATGAGATTAAGATACCAATTACTAGACCAATAAGAATTAAAAATAAACCTGATTACTTAAAAGATTACGTGCTTAAAATTTAAAACGCAAAAAATATAAAACGCTAAAAATATAAAACGCTAAAAATGTAAAACGCATAAAACGCTAAAAGTATAAAACGCTATGATTAACTTAACACCTAAAAAATAATATAATAATCATTATGATTTATCATTCTTTATTCTGGATTTTATTCCTTATTCCATAAATTATCATTCCTTATTACATATTTTATTGTTCCGAAATTCAAAATTTTATTCGTGCATATTATTCATACATTTGATTTGATCAACTATTCCAAATTACATATTCCGATTTATTCCAAATTCCAATATTCAACTGGATTAATGATAATAACAATTTTGAGAAATGTGAACAACATACGATAAGGATATCAAACCAACGATAACGTTCAACGATTTTATCAAACCTACGTGATTGATTCAAGCCTACAATAAACGTACAAACTCACGCAACTCTAATAAACGATTTTATCAAACCTACGTGATAGAATCAAGCCTACGAAAACATTTGAGACTTATGCGCTAACCAAGATAAAACGAGTACAATCGAAACAGGAAAAAACTTCTAGGACAACAAGCTCTCGATGACTGCTGAGAAGAAGCTTCGTTATTTGTAGAAGAGGGGGAATGTTGATTGATTTAAATTTGAATATTATTTATTTTATATGTTGATTGATTTAAATTTGAATATTATTTATTTTGTATTTAAGTTGTTCAATTAACTTGTAAATTATATATATATATAATGTTTTTAGATGAAAAATATAGTAATAAAAATAGTTAAAATAAGTCCTTACATTTATTATTTACAAGTTTGTAAAAATATCAAAAATATACTTGTATTAAAAATTTAACTCAAAATTGTTTTTTAAAAGAAAAAAAGATATCAAATTTATATTTTTAAATATCAAATTTATATTTTTAAAATTATTTATAACTAAATAGATGGCCTTAAATACTTAAAGAAAATTGTTACTATATTTATTATCAAAAGCTTTTATTAGCAAAATTCATTATAATATTAACTATAATTTATTATAACTGTAAAATACGTATATAAAAGTGGCATTTTATCTAATATTTTATAAAAAACTGAATATAATAGAGGATTATAAACTATATGTCTATTTACTTACTTTTTATAATACTTATTTGGACCTTGAAAATATTTTTAGGAATAGGAATGATAATAAAATTTAAAAATAAATATACAGTTGATTAGTCATTTTGAACTCTGCTGATTACAATATTAATTTTTTAGGTTTTCAATTAATAAATGATTATATTTATTTTATTAGGGTTATATATAATTTAAATAATAATAGTCAATTAAGCTTCAACTGTTAATGCTAAATTAATATTTAGGGAGTGATATTGATATACTATTTTTAACACAAAATTTGATTGCTAGATGACATAGTGAAAATATAATTTATATGTATTAATCTAATCTAATATATAAAATAATATTCATTTAAAAAATATTTAGATAGTCTTATTAATTTTTAAATAATAAAATTAAATCTATATTCTACTTATTTGAATTATAAAAAAAATCTTTTAGGGGGCAATCAAAACAATTTATTTTTAGTTGAAGGGGTTAAGATCCCATTCAAAAATTCTATTTTTGCTACAGGGGGCTATTCAAATTTTCCAGGGGACTCGAGCCCCTGCCCCCCCCCCCTAGCGACGCCACTGGATAAAATATTTATTCACTTACGTTGGGGAAACCTTTAATGTCTATAAACAAGCTTGAATTCTTATCAATCTAATCACATCTTCGTGCAAAAAATATATAGAAGCAGATAAGTCTTACCCCCCACTCTCTCTTCCCTTATTGACTTTTTAATTACTTGACTGGAAAAAAATACTCCGAAATTTTAACCAAATTATTGTTTTTCTAATTTAATATTTTATTTTGTATTATTTATAAATGAAGATATACTAATTTTGTGGTTTCGTGGTTTATAAAAGGATATGAAAAAAACATTTAGTTTAAACGTCAGTTATTCTTTCTTACAAATTCATAAATTATAATGTAAAAGAAACATTATCGATCTCGATGAAATTTGTAAATTTCATTACTTATCTAGTAACCATAAGATTGATTAATGTTATCTATTACAAATCGGATGATGATATTATATTTATTGATCCTGAATGTACTCCCCAAGCGTCAAATTTTTCCAGTGATGGTCGAAAATGTTTACATATTGGTGGAACTGTACCTATGTCTGGGGGATGGCCAGGTGGACAAGGTTGCTTGCCTGCAATATTAATGGCCTTGCAAGATGTTAACAAAAAAATGGATTTGCTACCTGGATATTATTTAAGATTTCACTATAATGACAGCAAAGTTATTTTTGATAAACATATAAATTTATATATTATGTAAATAGTGTAATCCAGGTTTAGGCACCAGAGTATTATATGATTTACTCTATAATAAACCGACCAAAATAGCTTTACTATCTGGGTGTAGTGCTGTTTCAACAACAATGGGTGAATCAGCTGCAATGTGGAATTTAATTGTGGTAAGTATTTATTATGGTTACATTTTTCATTGATTTTGTAGACCCTGAAAGGTGGAAAACATAGGATGTATGACTTAATTAATTAAATATTTATTTCCATGATTTGTTTTGTAGATCAATTTAATTAACTTTTAAAATAAAAAAATTGAAGTCTGCCATAAAATAAAAAATTTAATTGTCAAATTAAAAAATGAATGGAAAATTATAAACCCAAGCTGAACCTAAAAATATTTCATTTACAAAAACTGGGTTTGCTGATTTGGGGAAACATTACTTTAAAATACATCATCTTATAAGTTAAAAATCATGTAATAGATTGTACATTAAGTTAAAAATACTAGGCTAGGCCATAAATTGTTAAAATCCAAGTAGGGGATTAAATTTGAGTGTATTTATCTAAAAAATACATCAAAATCATATTTAAATTTTTTATTAATTTTTATAACATACATAATAAAATCATATATTTATATAACACAACCTTAATATACAGTGTTTAACATAAATTTTAATAGCATATTAAAAATGTCTGAATACCCTCAATTAGTCATTTAAAATTTTATATAATTTTATTGATATGTGTTAAATATTCAAATATTGATATATAAAACCAGGGATCTAAACCTCTAAAAATATTTATTTGGTTTTAAAAAGAATGTGGTTTAGGGTGACTGACTTGTATAGTATATACCAGAGTTTTAGATATAAAAATATTGCATCTATATCTATTTTTAGTTCTATTTATATCTATAAATAGAGGTTCCCATTCTAAATTGCTAAAAGTAATAATAAATTAAATACTACTAGAAAAATAATAATTACTAACAAATAATATATCTTATATCTAAGAGTGAAATTATAATAAATTTTAGTATATAATTACAAATTTATATTATTAAGCAAGTGTTTTACAAATTTAATAAATATTTTAAATGACAATAAATATTTCATCAATAGTTATATTAAATACTTAATACAAATATATATCTTAGAAATTATATTATTAAACAGACACTATACAAATTTAGTAATTATTTTAAATATCAAAAATTTCTTTAATAGTTAAAATACTTAATAAAAATATATATCTTAAGGATGATAATATAATAAACTATAATATATATAATTGCAAATAATTTAGAGCACTTATAAAAAAAAATTAACTAAACTAAAAAAGATAATAGTTAATTTTTTTGTCAAATATATTGCAATGTATTTTTTCCAGAAAAACTTTAAACGTTTTTTAAATTCAAAAATCTGATTTTACTGAAAATGGAAAGCATAATATTCCCTATGAATTTTATAACTTTTTAACTTACTATAATATATATTCTTTTTTTCCATAGATTTTTTATATAAATTATAAATGACATTGCGTTTATTATAAATTAACACTTTCATAAATTTCAACTTATATGGCATATTCTTAAGCTGCCCTTTGGAGAAATATATTAATATTAAAATGATCTAATTTATATTTCATCTAAATTTGAGTTGCTAACTTTTTAAGAAAAACCCTGAGGCCAAGATGACATTTTTCTGCTAAAAATATAGTAATTACCCAACTATAATGTTAACACAATGATCAAATTTATATCTTACACAAAATCATAGTCATTATTTCCATAAGAATTTATTTATGGATAATTATGTGCTATCAGGCATTCTATCAGCGAACTCAAAATCATGCCAAAATATATATTATAATAATGCATTATTGTATATAATAAATTTTATTAAATGAATTCATGTTCTAAAAATTAACTTTTTTACATTAACAATATTTTGATAGCTGATAGTAGAGAAGTTATTATTCTTTTAATTGCAAATATTTTTAGGAGGGAGGGGGGGGGTATTGAATATAGCAGACTCTTCTTTATACAGCTTGACTAAGTTTAAATGCTGAACTTTATGCCAAAAGGCTTACGTAAAGTGGAAGAAGCAGCCTAAAAATAGATTATGTTACAACTATATATAATTTAAACTTTACCCTTTACTAAAATATTGAGAAATACAAATTGTAGAGCAGATATCGCTCCTGCTTCATAATCGGTTTGTGCCATGTCTGGTAAAAACTGGATACCATTCAATGTCCCATATTCCACTATTATTTGAAATAGCTCAATATATGACTCCTGGATAATTATATATATCTGGATCTTCAGAGCATTGTTGGTTCAATGCTTTTAGATAGTTATTTATCCTCTGAATGATTTTTGTACCGTTGCTTTTACTGTTTGCAAAGTTTTTAATTTACAAAAAAGTATAGCATGATTTTCATGTTCATGCATTTGGATTCTGTGCATCCCTGAATATATTTACATGGTACTTTACAGTCAGCTCTTAAACAACGGTAGTAAATTGTATTCCTATATATGCCATTATAACGGTAAAGAAAACGTCGGTTCCTCTAAAATATAAGAAAATTTTTAGATGTTTATATAGAAATTTACCAAAAATATGTATATTTTTATTAAAATCTATTAGGGATTCTGCAAACCCATGATTATCCATATTTTCTAAATAATAATTGCCTATAAATATAATGTTAATGTGATATAGATAATTTCATTAAGAATTATTCCTTTCTATTTCTGAATTAAGAGGAGATGTATAGAAATCATTTGATATGTTGGGAGCATCTATATTTTATATATTAAGTTGATTTGTTATAAAAATGTTACTTTGAAAATCAGGAATATATGGGGAAATATATGAGCAAAGAGGTGATGAGTAAACTGATTGACTTTGAGTATAACCTATTTTAAAATTTATTTTTAGATAATGGTTATATAATATGTTGTACCTAAAATGGCAATATTTATTTAAGATTATTTATAATTTTTAACTTGGATTTGAAAGGGTCAAAGATTCTCCATCATGAGAATGAGAAGGTAGTTGAGAATCATCTACTTAATTTTGAGTTTATTGTAAAGATTATTTATAATTTTTAACTTGAATTTGAAAGGGTCAAAGATTCTCCATGAGAATGAGAAGTTATTTGAGAATCATCTATTTAATTTTGAGTTTATTGTTAAGATTATTTATAATTTTAACTTGAATTTGAAAGGGTCAAAGATTCTCCATGAGAATGCATTTGAGAATTATCTATTTAATTTTGAGTTTATTGTTTTATAATTGTGATAAAATATGTTTACCTTGAAAATTTGAACTCAGTTGTTCTATATTTGATGATAACATTGAAACATCTATAATATAATAATATATAATTGCAATTAAGTTTAAATATTTTGAATTGGTTTACAGGTGTCTAAATGACATTTAGTTATAAAGTTTCATGCGGCAATAGTAATATATGGCACTTTTACCAGATTTGTGCTGTAAATACTGATATCCCAAATATTCTATGTAGTCTATTTTTTATGTTTTCTAAAACAAATTTAAATGTAAATAAAATTTTCATATCTATAAATTATACATACTTTAATATCTAATTTCCTAAGCTTAAGTAATTTATTTATGTTTTCTGCTGTGGTTTGAATCTTCATTTTTTAAATAAAGCATTACTAGCCATCTTTGGGATTTTCACTGGTAACAAAATTGGAAACATCCCCCTTTTTTTAGAGATTTATTGTTTAGCGATTTAAAACAGATCACGCCACAAAAGGTGTGGTGGCAGAGCAAAACTAACCAAATTGTGACATGTATAACTAAATGTCATTTAGACACCTGTAAACTAATTCAAAGTATTTAAACTTAATTGCAATTATATATTATTATATTTTAGATGTTTTACCTTTATCATCAAATATTATCTTAGAACAACTGAGTTCAAATTTTCAAGGTAAAAATATTTTATCACATAATAATAAAACAATAAACTCAAAATTAAATAGATGATTCTCAAATACCTTCTCATTCTCATGGAGAATCTTTGACTCTTTCAAATCCAAGTTAAAAATTATAAATAATCTTATATTGTCTTTGTCATTTTAGGTACAACATATTTTAACATATAATTATAAAACAATAAACTCAAAATTAAATAGATGATTTGATACAATTTTATTTTGTGCCTTTTTTTATTATAAACGTTTTTTTTACAGTAAAAATATAATGGTTGATATTTTATATATAAACAGGAATATTTTCTAATATAATTTTGTGTTAGATTATAGAAGAGTGAGAACTGGGGGCCTTTAAAATTCTTATTGCTTAATTTAAAAATTATTTCTTTTTTTTAAAAAAAATTTGTGATATCTTTGAATTATTTACATATATTTATATATATTATTATTTTATTATTAACCATTTAGAAACCGGGATTAAAATTATCTCCACATAACTGAAATATCGATTTTTTTATTAATGCAATCTTATTTATATTTTTGAAATTACATTTTAGGAAGAAGTTAACACATAATTATCCACTACTAATTATATAAAAATTTTATTAATAACAATATATCAAAAATTAACAATATAACAAATATAAATATCTAAATTGTATAATGGTATTAAAAATATCTATAGCTGTTTCTGTTGGTTGTGCATTTCTATTAATCTTGATTATTTGCATTACTTTTAAAACCTCTGTTTAAAAAAATAATCTTCATCTGAATTGTAACCTTCCAATATATCAACTAGGCTATCCAAAAAGAGTATATAAAAGATAAATAAATTATAGATAAAAATAAGAATTACTGGATACTAGATGACTTTTTTTCCAATACATTCATAAGCATTTGTAAATCATTTTTAGCAGGTTTCCTTGTTTGAGGAGAGGATTCCTGAAAGTTACTGACAGTAGGTCTGTCAGCAACAGTGGCTTGCATGAAATTAATATATTTCTTATATTTGTATTCATGCACCCCTCCTCTAGATCCTGAAGGTCTGCCTAATTTTTCTTTATTGAGTTGATCCTTAAAATTTCTTAAACGTTTCTTTATGTAGTTAACACTAAAGTCATAATCTGGATATTCTTCTGATAATCTAAAAATAAAATTATAAATAATATTATATATTATTTAACTTAATTC